CTGTAACATCCTGAAGTTCTTCAAGTTTTTCTTTACTCATTGAGAATACTTGGTCATTTGTGTTTTGAATTCTGTGGCAGAAAGTTCCGTCAGACTTCAGCTTCAGGAAGTCCATTGATTCTGTGTTTTCATCACTTTTTGAGGTGCTATCCTGCTTTACTGAACACAGTGCCACTGTTGTGTCAAATGCCATAACAGTTGCCCATGGTGGACAGGGTCTGTAGAGCTCCCAGATTAAGACTGACTTGGAAGCAGGATTGACATCCACTTCCTAAACAATAGGGCTTTAGAAATTCTATGAACATTAGATAAATGACAATAGTTACAGAACAGCATTCAGATCTTTTGTTTGTACTCAACTCAGTGGCACTTCATAACAACAGCATCTTGCTTTGTGGTTTTGTGTAGGGTGAGAGGTAGTCACTTCTTTGCTGTCATTGCTGTAGTTTTTCTTACCTAGAGCCTTGCACGTCCTGGGTCTGAAGACCTTGGCTGGAGAGCTCACTGCTCCAGAGGACAGAAGGACAACTTGTCCTGCCTGGAGATCTTTCTGGTCCCTGGGTCATGGGAAGACTTGGCTCAGTTGGGGAGCTCACAATTCCAGAAGGGAAGGGGAGGCAGCTCACCCTGCCTGTGATCCTTCCCCTCTTCCTGGGAGCCCACTGGGAAGGGAACTAGCTCTGCCTCTGTCCTGGGGCTGCTGGGAAGACCAGCACTGGCTCGGGAGCAAACCTCAGAGACTGACTCAGTTTATCGTGATGCTGTGGAATTGAAGCCACCTTGTCTCCAGAACATGCCTGAATGCGATGAGCAGAGGTAGATGGAACTGTTTTATTGGAATGGAGGCAGATGAATGTGGGGTACTGACCATGCCACTTAGCAGCCTTAGGACCTTTCTGAGCATCTGTTTTTCTCATCTGTGAAGTGGGATAAAATTACTAGATCAGTGAAGGCAGTTTTCATTGTAAACTGTAAGATGCTTAGAGTATTTGATCAATACTGGGCTGCTTGGATCGACTTTTGACTTGAGAGGCTTTTCCATGCTCCACACATAGTGTAATGATAACTGCTGCTCCTGCACCTTCTCCTGCAAATGTCTAGATAGGAACATTTTTGTGGGCCAGCCTGTGGGACACAGTAACTCTGCAGTTGGAGGCATGTGTAAGTGAGCTGCCTTGGATAATGTATAAATGAATGGGCAGGCCTGGCTGGTTTTAATAAAACTTTATTTACAAAAGCAGGTGACAGGCCAGATTTAGCCTGTGTGCCTTAGCTTGGGGAGTCCTTGCTTTCACAGAAATAGCAGGTAGTCTACCAGCACACCTACGAGTTCCCCATATTCTCTGAAGGACCAGGGCTGAATTGAAAAGTTCTTTTACCTTATAACTCAAAACTCTGGTTTTAGCACTTTTAGGGGAAAAAAAGTGGGCTGGTTTTGCCCTTCCTTAAGGTTCTAGCCCCTTTACTGTGCAGTTCTGGGAAAACATCTTGGGTTTGCTCTCTCTCTGCTGTTGAGTCTGGATCGATTCAGACCTGGTGAGCCGTCATGTTTTCAGAGGCTTGTAAATGGCATAGGAGGCTGCCCGTGTCTCTCCCTCACATTAGCTGTTGGATTTGAACCTCGTGCCATTGCATTGGCAGCATAAATTCTTATCCACTGGGCCACCAGAGCTCCCTTAGGTTAGGCATATAGTGAAACCAGAACCCATCTCCTTGGCTAAACCAAAACCACTACCGATGAGCTGCTTTTTGACTCATGGTGACACAGCAGCAGGCGGGCCTCCAATGCTGTAAATCTTGACAGGAGGAGAAGGGGCCATCTTTCTCCTGTGAGGAGCTTGTGGATCCAAACCATTGAACTTTCAATTAACAACCTCATATGTTACACATTATACCCACCAGGGCTCCTTACCTGTTTGACTGGCTTTAAAAAGGCTTAAATGGATGCTGTTATGCAATCCTGTGTCTCTTGTTAGTCTGTTGTTGGTGGACTCTGTTAGCTGAAAGGTTGGCAGTTCAAGCTATACCTGTTAGTGCCTTGGAAGACAGGTCTGGTGACCTGTTCCCAAAATGTTGCAGCTTTGAAAACCCTTTGGAGCAGTTCTCTCCCCACATGATGCTGTCATGACCCCAGGCTGGACAGCAACTAACAACAAATGCCTTTTGTAGAGGGCCAGACTGAGGTTCATATTGCCACCAGGCAGGTGAGCAGCAACACCTGGCCACCACTGTGTTTTGGGCTAAAGTTCCCTGTTTTGTGGTGCAAAAATCTGCAGTGGTGGTAGCATAACGGCATTCCATCCTGTATTCTGGGGACCTTGTTGACAACTTGGATCCCCCTCCCCCAGATGTACTGAATGAGTCTTCATGAGATCAGCCTCCACTCCACATGTATTGAATCGGAATCTACATGGTAACCTTCTTTAACCAAGATGTACTGAGTCAGAATCTACAGTGTAACAGTCTTTACCCCAGATGTACTTGAGTCTGCCCATCCATCCGTCCGTCCATCTGTCCATCTCTGTCCACCCATCCATCCACCTATCTGTCCATCTGTTCCTCGTCGACCTGTCCTTCCGCCCTCCTGTCCCTGCGCCCACCCATTTTCCACCCATCCATGCATCCTTTCACCTACTAGATATTCATCCACCTGTCCACCAATATCCAGTCATTCACTCACCTATATCTGTTCATCCATCCACCTACCCCCTCCCCCAACGACTCATCCATACCCACTGATTAACATGTCTAGGCGACTGAGCCTGGGAATTTATATTCTGAAAATGTTTACGTGGTTGGTATGTATGGCAACATGTAGGAATCCTGGCCTGGATGAGGATGTTTGCTTTTAGCACCTACAGGCTGTATAGTAAGCAACTTGCTGCTGTCTCTTGAATAACAGGAAGCTCAGACCTAAATTTAGTGTTGCTAGCTCTGCCTCCAGCTCCTGCAGTTGGTTTCGGGAATGCCTGTCTTAGATGTGTTTTCATGGTACAAGCGTTAAAGACTTTTTGTGGAATGTGGGTGATTTGCATCCCTCCCTCTGGCTTTGAGGTTTTCCCAGAGACCTTCAGTGTGATGGATTGCCTGAGTGAGTGCAGGAGTGGGGTCAGCACAGTGACGGGATGGCTCGGGATGGAGCAGTGCGTTGTCTGGTAGTACACGGGTGACTACGGCTTGGAACCACAAAGGCACCAGTCAAGGGTGTTACAGCGGTTGGGTATCGCCATGCTCGTGTTCTGACTTGCACTCTCTTCCTCCTTGTTCCTGCTGGAGTGTAGATGAGGGCATGCAGGCCAGGCAGAGGGGCTGCCTGAGCATCCAGGAACCTACCCCTGGCTGTTCCTCATGCCCCTGAAGCAGCAGGTCTACCTGGTGAGCATTTATGAGGGACACCTGGCCAAGCCACTCTCCATTCTGGTCAGGACTGTGTTTGCCCAGTGACCCTGCGGTGCGCTGGTGTCACGCCCGCGTCGATGGTGTTCACAGATGGCGTCCAGCAGGTGACTCTCTGACCCGGCTGGCCAGCCCGCCTCCACGCCTTGGCCAGGCATGCTCCTGAAGCTGGTCTCTCGGCCCCAGGAAGGTTGTTATTTGGCAAGCTGAGAGACCGGCTGACCAGATCTGCTCTGGATTCAGGGTATCCCTCATCATCTGTCCCCTCCCTGCGCCTGACCTTTCCCTCCTTTGAGCTCACTTCTTGTCCTTTCAGTCTTTCCTAATTCCAGCCCAGAGCCAGCCATCATGTCCTGCAGACGTCCTTGTCTTCTGCTTGAGAGACTACCACCTCTGGTGGCACAGTGGGTGAAGTGTTGGCCGAGGTCAATCCTAGCGGCAGTGAAAGCCAATAGCAGCTTCTGAAAAGATGCCTGGGAAAGCTGTGGGGCAGGTGGACCCTGGGTTGTCGTGTTGGGGATGGAGTCGGTGGCAGGCCTGGGGGCAGGGGGCTCTCGATGTCCACCACGGCTTGTTTCCTAAGCGCTCTGGCTGAGCTGGCGTCAGGACGTGGATGGGGGAGCATGAAGCCGAGGACCCGAGACCTGAGGCCGGAGCAGGGAATGGAGGAAGGTGTTGGAGTTTGACTCCCGGGGCTTTGTAGCTGGAGGGTCTGGAAGGAGTCATGTTTAGAGGTGGTGGTGGCATCAGGGAGGGGTGGAGGGGCAGGTGGGGGTGGAAGATGGTACATGCTCTTTCAGAAATGCAACTTCGGGATCCAGGGACATTCAAGGCTTCCCAGGACCCCAGCCCAGCACATCACGCACACAGTGAGTGTCCATGACGGAACATGGGGGCCCAGCAGGCCCACTTACCACCCTCATTGCAGGTGGCACACCTTCTGTTCTGACCATTCCCATTCCCCCAATCTCTGGTTACTCCCATACCTCCTGAGATGTACGACCCAAGGCCACTGAATGCGTTAGGGTCGCCATCACTGTGACAGATGGCACCCGGGACTAGCATCCCATGGCACAGGGAGGACCTGGCAAGAGCGTTTGTTCTGTCCCTTGGCATCATCCTTCATTTGCTTACAATGCAGTTGCATTATAGTCATTGCTGCAAGTCCAGTAAAAAGTGTGAATCATGCATTTACTTCCCCCCAGGCCCCCACCTCTGCGTTTCCATTCTTCTTACTGTTCTTAGAGACACAAATCGAGCTGCTTCCACCTTGCCAGCGAGTCTGTGCACCAGGCCGACAGAAACAGGACCCAGGGAGCACAGTTCACTAATCTGGACACAGCTTTATTAGCTCAAATTCATTGACAGCTGGAGGAGGTGGTGCCCGTCGCTGTCCTGCAGGAGGCGACCCGGCCTGCACGGCTGCTCGGGCGGCTGGCGGGGGACCGCTCAGATGCTGCCCGACATCAGCTGGGGACACTTACACACGTGACATTTCTATCATACAGACATAAGCTAGAGAGGAGCGCTCGCGGGGTACATGTTCGTGGGGAGGTACACAGGGGCGCGGGCTGCGCTGGAGCTGGCGAAGGTGCAGGGTGGAGTTAGGCCGACTTCCACGCGAGGCTGAGGAGGGCGGCGAGCAGGGCGCAGGCGAGGCTGGTGCGCAGGGCCCCTGCCGCATTACAGTCCACCTTGGCGTTCCTGCACGAGCACACCTGCACCCTGATGTCCGTGACGTTGGTCATGGGGGGCTTCCCTGAATCTGTCACCATGACTGGCACGTTGTAGTTGGCTTTATTCAGATTTTGAAGAAGGCTGACCAGGGCGTGTGTATCTATGAAGACAAAGAGGGCTACGTGAGTTCCGACCCCTGGTATCCCAGTGTCAGAGGGGACTTGTGCACCACAGGGCTTTTTTCAGAAAAACTGATTTCAGTTATCGTTTACAAAGCAAACTGGCTTCTCATGCAACCATTCACACATGTTTTGTTTTCTAGCATGAACTAAGTGCCTACAATGGAGGCCTGTTTCTCCTGCTCCCCTCATGTAATTCCCTCTTCCATTAGTCCTATAGTTCCCTTCCTGCCTCGAGGGCTCGATTCTGGGGGGAATGCTGCTCTTTTGACCCTATTTAAAAACATTTTCTCCCCCCTAGCGACCCCCTCCCAAATCAAACCAGAACAAACACAAAAACTCACTGCTGTCCAGTTGGGCCCCACTGGTAGCTGACCACCTACAGATGTTTTGTAAGCTGTGAATTACACAAGAGGAGACGGAGACTTTGTCCCGTGGAGCTGTTGTGGGGGCGGCCTCTGGGTCAGCCACACAGCCCCCGATGGAAAGGCCCCAAGCGGGGCTAGTCTGAGAATTGGTGCCTCCCATGGAAGGGCCCTGAGTTCCAAGGGGGCTAGTCTGAGGGGTGGTGTCCCCTGATGTGTGTGGTCAGCTACAGGCTTGTAGTGTGGCTGAAGGTTGAGCCCCAGGGCTGAGTTTTTCCAGGTTTGAAGTGCCTATTTTTAGGAAGCCAGGTGCTGGGCTTTCTTCCGCAGCACCTCTGGTGGACAGGTCCACCTCTTGGTTGCAGCTGCATGTCCACTGTCTGTACCACCTGGGGACAGCTAGAGAGGGCTAGGCTTTCCAGGAGGAGTAATGAGGTTTCAGACACTTAAAGCACACAGCGGGGGAGCACTGGTGGCCTAGTGGCAAGAAGCTGCACTGCAGTCCTGAAGGCCTGCGGTTCCAGTCTACCAGCTGCTCTGTGGGAGAAGGATGGGCAGTCTCCTCCTGTGCGATTAGTTACCTCAGAAAACCTGGTATAGGGTCAGTTATGGGTTGCTTCCGATTTGACGGCACACAACAACAACCACAAAGCACACAGAATGGGCTGTGCAGCTTCAGAATCATGGGAGTGTGCAGATGTACACGAACGTTAACTAAAACGAAACCTCCCTCTCCATTTGCACCAGACAAATAGCAAGTTCTCGGCAGCTGCATTTGGTGGCTACCACATGAGACAGCACAGTTCTAGAACATTCTCTGCAGAGCGTTGTGCAATTCAGGGCTGAGGCGATGCAGTTTGAAGGGGCTTGTTTAGGGACAATTGGGCCTGAAGGCTTCCTCTCCACACACCTGATGTGCAGGGACAGTGCCCTCGGTGAGGAGACCCCTGAGCTCAGAGGCCCCGGGTGGAGAGTGTGTGTGTGGGGGGACATTTGGGGGCTGCTCCCTCCTCTTTGCTAATCTCATTTAAAAGGAACAAAGGCCAGTGTCCTGAAGCACACCCCACAGGAGGTGGGCAGTAGGTGCGTCCATCAACAGTGACTCAGTCCCTATGAACGATGGCTCTGAACCCTGCCCCATCCTGAGTGCAGTGACCTTTGTCCCCACTTCACCAGGTCAGAAGTGACCACCCCACCTACCCTGACCCTTAGACTCCACTCGTACTCTTTTGGAGGAGTCATGGGGGTGCAGTGCACAGCTAACTGAAAGGTGATCAATTCAAACCCCCAAACCCCCCAGCTACTCCATGGGAGACAGACGAGGCAGTCTGTCCATGAAGGAGAAAGCCTTGGGAGGCTGGAGTGGTGGTCAGAGCTGCAAACGAGAGGGCCACTGGTTCAAACTGCCAGCCACTCAGGGCGGGAGTCGGGGGACAGGGGACGAGAGGAGGCTGTCCTCGGGGAGGAGACTGTCCTGGTGCACAACTGTGGACATGCTGGGCAGGGCTCCTCTGTCCTACAGGCCCTGTGTGTCAGAATTAGCCCAAGGGCAGTGCGTTTGTTAGTCTCTTTTCTGCCATCCAATGGCTGAGAATTTTTTAAAAAAGCACAAAACAACTTTGGGCACAAGATATGAACAGACACTTCACCAAAGATGACATTCAGATGGTAAACAAACACATGAAGGACTGTTCAAAATGCTTAATTCTAAGAGAGATGCAAATCAAAACAAGTGAGATATCCTCTCACCCCAGTAAGAATAGCAAAATGTAACAGAACAGCAAACAACAAATGCTAGCGACTTAGCGGAGGAACTGGAACACTTACTCCCTATTGGTGGGAGTGTAAAATGGTGCAACCAGTATGAAAGGCAGTATGGTGCTTTCTCAAAAAGTTGGAAAAAGAAATACCACTGGACCCCTAAAGAAACCGTAAATGCCACCCAAGCAGATACATGCACAGTCATGTGTATCACGGCTTTCTTCACGATAGCAGAGTTTGAAACAACCCAAGTGCCCATCAACAAATGAATGGATAGAGAAGCTCTGGTATACTCACACAATGGAATATTATGCAGCATTGAAAAACAAGGAAATCATGAAGTACACAAAATGGGTGACCCTGGAGGACAGTATGCAGAATGAAATATCTCAGTCACAGAAGGACAAATACTACATAGTGACACTGATGTAAAATGAGACTGACATTGGGGTTGGAGGGAACCTAAGAGAAGAAGGGATACATAATGTACACGACATTGAAACAGATGAGGGAGAGAACCGTATAAAAGAATATGTGGTTAGGTATTAGGGGCATTATGAGTCCACAATAAGAGCTGCATAGTAAAATGGTCTGGGGGTGGGGTGGGGGACAACAATGAAAGAACTTTTTTCCAAAGAAAAAAGCAAACGGGGGTGGGGTAGAAGGGTCCGGGAGGAAAATGTACAACAATGAAGGATTGGAAACCCAAGGTCTTTAATAAACTTTCATTAAAATCACACAAAAAATATAAAAAATCAGAATGATAGAAACCACAAAAACCAACTCCTAGCTCTTCCTGGGCACAACTAAGAATTAAGAAAATAAAACTGCAGTGAGGAGTAGAGTTCTAAAGGCAGCTTATCTGTCAAAAGCCAGCTGCTCATTGCCGTTGGGTCGGAGCTGGCTCAGGGCTGACCTGCCGGTGGGTTTCAGAGGCTGGAAATGTCATAGCAGGAGATTGGTTATCTTGTGCTGCGGAATAACAGGTGGATCTGAACCAGCTGCCTTAGGGCTGGCAGCACAACTCCTTACCACTGGGCCCCCAGAGCTCCCTTGCAAAGCCAGGCAGGTGAAAAGGTGTTGGCATCAGAGGGGACAGCACCCACTGACACGGGAGCCCTGAGCATAGCCCCTACATCTTCCTCACCTGGGAGGAGCTGGAGCATCTGTCAGAAGAGACTACTCCTGACGATGCTCGTCAGCCACGTGGACAGAGCTACCTGGACAGACACTAACCCTCAGACAGGCGGGGGCTGTGCTGACAAAACGGAATCTGTGTAACGGGATCCACTCCTCAGAGCAGTAAAGTGGGAAGACAGCAACTAGGCTCAGTGCCGACAGAGAGGTTCTCATAAAGTAAGATGGGACATGGGGCCATAACAATAGATGGAGTTTTTAATAGAAAATGTTATTATGCACAGTCATACAGTGCCTGCTCAGAACTTAATGAAAGGGGTCATTTCACCCCATCTCTCAAGTCTTACCACTGAAGTCAGAAGTGGGGACCCTGAATAGGCAAAGCCTCAAAACTAAAGAAACCATCCTGCCCCCCAAATAAAAACCATGCCCACTGCTGTCACACCCTTCCTGACCCCAGAAACCCCCTCACTGGGTTTCCAGTGATGGAAATCCTAATGTGAGGAGGCTGCCCATTTTTTTTCCGATGAAGCACTTGGTGAATTCGAACAGCCAGCCTCACTGCCTGACTCCTTATGCACTGTGCCACCAGGGCTCCTTTGAGTAGGCCAATAAACGAAATCCACCAAACCAAACCATTGCCCCTGAGTGGATCAGACTCCTAGTGCTCCAGGAGGATGGATAAGAACCACCCCTCAGGTGCCCAGGGCGCCTGCCTTTCTCTCCTGGAGCAGCAGTGAGGTTCAAACCTCCAAGCTTCAGGTTGTGCGCCAGCCCCTCCCCCCACCCCCAGCTCCACTGACAGCAGGGAGTTCACTGCTCAGCAGGGAGTGTGCTGCCTCTTCTGTGAAGAGTGTGCGCGCCGCCTTGCTGGAGGGAAAGGTGAGCATGGGCGTGCAGTTCCCTCACACCAGCCACGGGAAGAAAAGGGGTGCGGCTGATACTCAGATACTGCACACTTCTGGACACTGGTGTTTCAGGTTTACTAAGGCAGATGGAAGCACATGCATCCCCCATCTGGCCACATGCAAAGCCTGGTAGAAAGGAAATGGCTTGTAAGTCTTGTAAGGGGATGTGGGGCCAGGGAAGAAGATGGAGTCAGCTCTGAGGAGGTGAGTCACTGACCGCTGTCCAGGCAGCACTGACTCCGAGCTGGCCCTCCAGCAGGCTGTGGGGAGCTGGGAGTCACAAGGGAGGAGACTGCCCAGCTTCCTCCCCGGGGCGGATTCCAACTCCCAGAGCAGCTCCACCTGTGGTTGGCAGCACAGTGCCCCTGCCCCCAGCTCCCTGTCCGGAGCTGGTAAGTGTAAAAGGAGGAGCTCTGGTGGCCCAGTGGGGAAGGAGCTGCACTGTCAATGCAAAGGCAGGTAGTTTGAATCCACCAGCTGCTCCGCAGTCTCTGAAAACCAAATGGAGGGGCAGGCGGCGTGGCTTCCCCTGGACGGCAATGAGTTGATGTTCTGAGTTTCATGGTGTAGTCCATGTGCTGGGCCGCTAGCCACAAGGCCAGTGGTCTGACACCCCCCCCCCCCACAGCTGCCTGTCAGGAAAGGTGAGATAGCCTCCCATAAAGACTGCCAGCCTCGGGCCCCTGGGGGACTTGATGGCAATGGGGTGGGTGGGCACCCCGTGGTGGGAGGTAGGGACTCGAGGTTGAAGACTTTGCACATCTCCTTACATCCTAGCTTCTCCTTTATCTGGTTACTGGAGTAGGCATGCCAGGGCACCGGTCCCCACAGTGCTGGTGACACTGATGCTGTGACTGTCCTCTGCAGAGATGACAGCCTGAGCCCAGGGGTGAGAGGGCCCAGGCAGGCACCTTTGACCTTCAGAGACCAAAGGTGGTGGTGGGTGGTCAACAGGCTGTGCAAGCTAGTTAGGAGAGGAGCGCCTCGGGGACTTGGGGATAGGAAGGATCGAGGCCTGGTCTTCTGACTGTTCCCTGGGATAGCAGACTGGCCAGGCAAAAGGTTAGTCAGGCCTGGGGAGGGACAGTGTGGACCAGAGATACATGGATATCAGGCGCAAATGAGGACGTGTGCATGCATGGGCAAGAGACCCACACCTCCCATTTCCGTACGTGGTTGCTGGCTGGTGGGAACCTGCATTTAACACAGGCATGCTTCCAGTGGCACCCACTTCCTAAACATCCCTCCAAGAAACTATGAACTGTGATAAATGATGATAGTTTCAGAAAGGCTTTAGGCCTTTTGTTCATAGGGTTGCTATGAGACGTGCTTGACTCGACGACAACAACATGCTTCGCTGTATTGTGCTTTGGTTTATTGCACTTCAAAGATAACAAATTGAACGTTTGTGTGTAGCAAGTCTATTAGCATCTTTTCCCCAACAGCCCGTGCTCACTGTCTGACTGTCCCATTTCAACCCTTCTCTCAATACTTGAAACTTGTTGCCTTGCTATTACGCCCACCCTCACTAGACAGCAGCAGAATGTCGGGGTTTCTGTGTGCAGGGAGACTAACCAGTTTGCATGACCTGCTTTACGGTGAGCTTTGCTGTGCAGTCTGGACCTGACCCCACAGTTTCTGAGGTCAGCTTGTGTGTAAACAGCTGGGAAGAAAGCATGAGGGCTGCTCAGGGGGGCCGAGGGGTGGAGCCCTCTGGGACTGGACACTGAATACCTTCCCACGGGACTTACTGTTGACCTTGGTGATCTTCCACACTTTATCAGGGACAGCCTGTTTATGGATTTCAAACTTGAAAGGATCTGTGTTCGGGTGAAGATCCTTGTCTGAAGCTCCCAGGATGATGACGCTGAGGTTTTTGGCGTCATCACAGACTTCAGCCACCGTGGGGTAGATGAAGGGAGCGTTGTCATTCACGTCCTCCAGCGTAATCAGCAGTGTCCCCGTGCCGGTGGCGGGAGGGTTACCTGTCGCGGGCACAGGAGACATTAGCATACTCAGGTATGACCCATGCACCTGCTGCAGACTCTGCCGTGTGCACACCTCTATTGCTAGGAGGGGGTTTACAGTCAAAACTCTGGGCTCTGGATAATCAGGCTTGGGCCACAGCCAGTCTGGGGGAGGGGGTGGGGCATGTGCATTTCGTTGTGCATCAGGTGACTGAGTTGGAAGCAACAAGGTGACTTGCTAAAAAGAGGACACGCTAATCCGTGGAGGCTTCCTCTGGGGTGACAAGGGCCCATGACACTGATGCTGGCAGAGGGAAGGCAGGATGGGGGCTGGATAAGGTGACCCTGCTGTGAGAGGAACCACCAGCTGCTCCCTGGGGCAGGAGAGAAACAATCATCATATGTATTTGGACCCTTGTTTAGTTTTTAATTAACTTTTTATTGTGATTTGGGCAAAAGTTTACAGAGAAAATTGGTTCTTTTTTTAATTATGGTTTCCTCCTCTCCCCATCCACTCCCCTCCTGATAACCATTGAAGAATGTTTATTTCTGTGTGTGAACCTTCCCTTACTTAGCTTTTTAAATAAGTGGCCTCAATATTTGTGACTATTTTACCCAGCATAATGTCCTCCAGATGCATGAAGTTTCTAGAACTTTGTTATTCTTTAGCAAAGTTTTCCATTGTGTGTATGTAGCATAGCTTGTGTAGCTATTCATTAGATGATGGGCACTTGGGTTGTTTCCACCTCTTTGCTACTGTACATGCTGCAGTAAACATGAGTGTGTATATTCCTTCATATCTTCTGGATATATACTGAGTTACAGGATAGACTGACACTGAGCGTCACCATGGCACAGGGTGGACTGATGCAGTGTCACAGTGTTTACAGGATGGACGGCTCGGGCGGTGGCAAAGGACAGAGCAAGGTTCACATCTGTTGTTGCTGAGTTGTAGTCGACTCCAGGACACCTGAGACCACCACCAACAGTGGGATAGAGCAAATCAATTTCCTGTTGTATCATTCATGCACGTTCTGTTAGACACTGACTGCACCCCTCACCTGTACCAGTTCTGCCTCCTGCCCTCTTAGCTTTGCCCCTAAACAAGTGCTGCCCTGTTGATCTCATCGACTGTTCTGAGGCGTGCAGGATGGCCTAGTATTGATCAAGCTGAGAGGTCTCTGTTGCTTGGCTGAAAGCTGGGCATTGGGGTGAGTTCAGCTCCAGACGTGAAGGTTTATCTAAGGACTCAAGACTTTAAAAAAGGCCTTGTTTCATCCAGGGCTCCTTTTCAAGAATATTTTAGGAGGCCCTTTTAATTGCCTCACCCTGTCTTTCACTGAGAGAGTGGGTGCTTAGTGTTAATAAGAGTTGTCTTGACTTCATTTTCCTTTCTCTAAATTCATTTTTAATAATCTGTGCATTAGTAGTTTGCTCTTGGGATGAACTGTGCATTAACAGCTTCTAATTTTTTTGTGATAAAAGTCTGAGCCAGAATGTAAACCACAGATAGTAACTGTATTAAAAATATAGACACCTGGTGTCCCCAGGTGTGCCGATGCAGAAGCACATCCCTGGGGTTTTCAGCAAGCGTAAACCATATTCCACGTAGAGTTGGATGCACCTCTGATTTGATACACATGCATGCCAAATGGATGTGTGGCTGTCTTCGTCCTCTACTTATGTGCCCTTAAAATGAAGCTAGGGAATCTGGTCATTTTATACCATCTTATATTTTATTTGAAATGCACATCAGTGTTCTTTCACCCTCACGATCAGGGGGCTTTTCAGGTAAGGTGCTATGTGCTGTGGGGTTGGAACCGACCCATAGCTGACCCTCTGGTGGGTTTCAGAGTCAGGGACTCTCACAGGAGCAGACGGATTATCCATGTTGCCCCCTCAGAGTAGCTGGGGGACTTGACCATGTGCCTTTGGGATGGCAGGGCCGCTCCTTACCCCTAGGAAGCACTCAGGACACAGCCTGTGGATCAGGGCAGCCTCCTTGCAGGTGTCCCTGCAGGCAGGCCTGTTTCTGACTATGCCCCTTGGCATTGGCTCCTGCCCTGCCCAGACACATGCTGGAAACTCTTTCAGCTTTGTTAATAAGCTAGGCCCACAGGTGCCTGATTCCCGTTCCAGAAACTGAGGTTGATTTTTAAAGTTCACTTATCAAATCATCCGTGGTTAGGAGTTAAGACGCTAACAAATGGGAATTTCTTCCCCTGGAGCTGAGGAGGCAGGAATTCCAAACCCTGTGCTGGCTCCCATGGAAAGCTGTCCTTGCTGCAGGGGAAGAAGTGGCTGTATCCTTGGTGCCCATGGGCCCGTCCTCCCCTTGTGAGGAGGCTCATCATGCAAGAGTCCAGGTCCAGAAAGACACGTTCCTCTTCGGACAGTCGCCTTCTGTTGGTGCTAAGGACCCCCACTCCAAGCTTTCCTCTTGGCTCTACCCTCGCTCCTATTTGATTAGGGCTGTGATGGATTAAAGGCTACTCCAGTTCCTAGCTCCTTAATCCCCCTGCTCCTACAACTACCTGGTTTAGCAGATCATGGGAGATCATCACAAACCTTCCGCCTCCTGTCATGATCTACATTTCCCACAGGTCAGTCCACAAGAGCACCTGACAACAACGTCCTAATGTCCCAGGTTCATCGTGTAACAGCATGGCCCAGACCTTCAGTTGTCTGAGATCTGGATGATACCCCAGTGTAGCCGTGTATTGGAGAAAGTATTTGTTTATCCATTCATCTGTTGATGGGTACTTTAGTCCTGTCCACTTGTTGGCCACTGAGAATAATGTGAACAGTGGTGGTCTGAGTTATGTTTAGAAGTGCCCCATGAAGAGGGCTTTGTAAGCGGGAGGCCAGCAGTGGACAGCTTGAACAGGAGGGTGAAAGCTGCCGAGCAAATGCGCTGTCCAAGGTACCAGTGCAGAATGCTGGGAGAGTGGATTCCTCAGACTCATCAGAGCTGGAAGAAGATACGGCATCTCTGCTGCATCTGTAAAAGTGAGCTGGAAGAGGGAGCAGGGATCCCAGTTCAGCATGTCAGTCAGTGTCTCCCTGGTTGAGTGGGGTGGGGGTCGTCTGGTGCTGTCCAGGCGGTTCTGGCTCCTGGGGACACTGCCTGGCCTGGCGCCTCCTTTCCAAGCACCGCCATGTTGCGCCCACTGTGGCAGCTGCCTGTGTCAGCCCATTTCCTTGAGGGTCATATTCCTTTTTACTGACCAAGCTCAGTGTCCTTCTTCAGAGACTGGCCCCTCAATGACACACCCACGGGGTGTGAGATGAGCGCTCCCCATCCTCACGTCTGAGGTGCACTCTGCCGGCGCTGCTCCCAAGACAAATTTTGTTTGTCTTTTTGGCTGAGACCAGGGGTGCTGGGCTGGCTTAATTGGGTTGCCATCGTAACTAATGACTTGATTTTATCCTCACACACATCTTTTAAGTAGCATCAATCTGCAGTCTTACTGTGGGCCTCCAGGCAGTCCAGTGCTCAGCTGAGCTGTGAAAAAAAGAAAAGCAGATGCTCTATGGAGCCATTTCTTTGGGGTTCAGATCCAGCAAGACCCCACGTTTGGAGGCATTTGCTCAGTGGTTCGCTGGTCGTTGCTCCACAGAGATGAAACAGTATGGTTTTTGTTGTTGCAATCAATCTAGATGTGCTCTGTGCAATATTTCAATATTGAATCAGTTGGCATTATCAGAACATCTATCATGTAGGGAGGCTGAGAAGGACAGGCTGGGACATGATGTATCTCAGCTGATGAAAAATCATTATCTTCGTCTATTCCGTTTTAATTTTGCAGCCGCCACACTCTAGTCACTATCTGAGCTCCGTCTTGGCCAGCTCATCACATTTTTCATCCCAGGACTCAGACTTACACTTTGCACAAGTTGCTACGTCTTGAAAACACTCTGCTGAACATGGCGGTAGTTTGGCTTGTTTTTAGGCCATCAGACAAGGGACAGGCCTCTGCTGGTAGGTGAACAGACAAAACACTTTCAAGACTGAACTATTTTTTCTACTTCAATGGTGAAGCCATGTGCTTTCAGTAATGGAAGTAATATTGATTTAAAGACGACTGCTTTTAGGTCCTTCAAGTTGGAGGAGGACCCAGGGTGACCCTGGATGCTGGGCTGTCCTCCGTTTTTCCTGTGTTTGAGCTCAGAGGGGCTGTCATCTTTCTCTGATCATCGGGCTCTCCTCCTAGGGTCCTGGTGGGATGGGGCGTTTCTTCTGATTCATGCAGTTATCCAGCCCCCCGCCAGGAGTGAGACAAGGGCTTCTCACCAACCCCCAGGACAGAGCATGCAGGTGGCACGGACGCGCCCACACTTCCTAACGGGTTACTGTGGAGTTTCAGGAATACCCAGCAGGAGGATTTTCTTTTTGGATGGCTGTGGATGCTGGCGACAAGGGTGGTTGGACTTGGTGAAGCAAAATGTTGGTCTTTGTGATTTGGAGTTACAACTTTGATTTACACCAGAGGTGAGCGTCCTGTTCAGTGACAACACTGGTCATTGAGCCCTGTGGCACGGCAGAAGAGGAGGTGGCCTGAGAGGACAAGGGACAGCAGCGTAGTCAAACCCTGAGTGACGGGTGTGGGCCGAGGTCAGCGCTGCTGCTACCAAAGCCACAACCAGTGACAGTGCAGAACTTTTGTGTAAATTGCTTTTGATAGTTTGCTGGTGGGGCCCTGGCTCTGCCGAACGTGGACACGTTGTTCAGCCTCTGTGTCCCTCCCTATTAAGCCTTTTCCAGGCATGCTGCCTTCAGGGACTGGCCCCTCCTGATAGCCGGTCCCCAGTATGGGACACAGGCTCGCTCTACAGCTGTATACAGCTGTGTTCTGCTGCACAGCTTCCAAGGTTGCTTCATTGTTCTGGCAGCGCCTGGTCTATTCTTTGTCAACACCACATTGGAAAGGGAGTAGAAGAACCAGCGGTTTATTCATTGTCCACCTTTAGCCTGTCAACTCTAAACCCAAGGTCGCTTGTCACTCGATTCCGACTCA